AGGGGGCCGAGGCATTTGTCAGGCACTTCAGCCTTTAGCCCCAGCTTCCCCTTTGAGTGAAAGGAAAAAATAAACGTCTTTATTTCGCACTGCTTCCAAAAGCCATCACCAAATTTTAGGAGATTTAGCTTATAGCAAGCATGCCCAAATAAACAGCTGATCTTACCAATAATCAAAGAACAAACAATGCTATGTCCTCTCCGCATGAGATACAGTATGCGATAGTTGACTTTACCGTTTGCTTATTTTTAGAACAGCTGTGGGCAAGCAGCAAACCAAACATGAGGTTGAATTGAAACAGGCCGTAGCAATTGCACGGGCACTGTCATGCTGCATTACCACTGTTGATTTGATGATTGAAATGTGGGGTTCAACGTCCCAAAACCACCATATGATTAAGATAGACGTCGTAGTGAAGGGCTCCGGAAATTCGCACCATCTGGGGTTCTTTATTGTGCACCCAAATTTGAGCACATGGGCCTACAGCATTTTCACCTCCATTGAAAATGCAGCCGAGTACTTTAGTCACTAGACCAACGCGGCAGGGCAGCATGCATTACCAATGTTACCAGTGGTTACAGATGCAATAGTTAAAGACATACATGTAATAATCATCACGACCAGGGTGTCTACGAATTCGCTTTTTCAAAATTCCCCGACTTTTCCTGGTTTTCCATGATGATTTAAAGCAAATTCCATGACCGTTACGTCTGCTTGTAAAACTATGTGAACTAGAGGCAGGCCCTAGAGTGGTGAAAAAATCAGGCAATCCTATAAAATAAGTAAATAAATGTTCCACACGCACTCAGAATATTCTGAGCGCATGCAGTAAATAGAAAAAAAATGTATATCTGGCCAAAATGATACTTTTGAGCCATAGAGTCGGCAAGTTGGCTGTTTGGTAGAATGCCGACATGCCAGTTTAAATTAACCTCAGCTGAAAGTTTGAAGGAGCCCATGATACTCCTACAGCGTAACCAAAGCTGCTAGGAAATGTAGAAGTGACACCATCTCGTAGCACCTGTGTAAAAGGAGAGCACCTGAGCCAGGCCGGTTCTGCGACTGGAGTACCTATATTTTAGTTCACTATAATGGTTACAGACCAGGTCACTTAGGATGTGGATTGGATTGGATTAGGTCGACCTGTATTTACCGAGTTTACTATTTACAATGTGGGAAGTACACACTGCTCGGCGAGTTGGTAGTTCATCTTAACTGAGTTGTGCAAAAAATTTAAGTACAATAGGAAGACGTCTGGACACAGCACACACCAACTGAAACTCCATTGGAAAAAAAAAAAAAACGGACATATATAAGCAGTTACAAGAACACGTACAGTGAAAGAACTTATTAGATTCGCAGAAAAATTGTATTAATGATCCGCGTGTTGAATGAAGGCTGAAGCCAGCCACAAAGCGTCTGAACGTCTGGCTTTAGCCGTTAAGACGTTCAGACGCTTTGTGGGTCTGCCGAATCTTGAACACAGAATGGTAGCGGCAAGCCAGGATCTACGAGGACTGCCCACGTGCATACTGCGGATGGGACGACCAAGGTCGATAGCCTTAGCTGTATAATTGATTGATTGATACGTGGGATTTAACGTCCCAAAACCACCATATGATTATGAGAGACGCCGTAGTGGAGGGCTCCGGAAATTTAGACCACCTGGGGTTCTTTAACGTGCACCCGGCCTTAGCGGTACAAGAAATGGAGAAAAATGAAGACTAGGGTGATAGAATTTTTTAGAAACATGATACGTCCAACGCTACCGACAAAGATGAAGCTTGTTGCAATCCCAGGAAAGGTGGTAACCTTGTGAGACAACCCCGGAAAAGGTTAGAAAGATGCTTGATCTCGGCCTGAAGTTTGGCTTTAAACCTTGGTTGAAACCAGCTGAATCCTTGGCGCTGAGACGCTGTATTGCTAATAGGATCCCTGAAGCTGAAAAGGCTCACAGCGTCTTTGAGTGCACGGTGGTCATTACGAGCAGCAGAGGAAGGCCAGCTTCGAAGCTCGACAATAGGTGGCTTGTGGATAGGTTCATTAAAGAGCACATTAGACCATTGGTGGCGGACAAGGAGGGTTCTTTCGCTGTCATGCCCGAGTGCTTGTTCCTGGAGAAGGCCTCGCGGGCCATCGAGAAGAATCTCAAGGAAGTTGATAAGAAGCCGGCGGAAGTTAAAAAAAAACGGGCGGTGGCTCTTGCATGAGCTACGTGCCGCAGTGAAGAAGGAAAAAGGTTCGATGCTACAAATGTTCTTCACTGTGAAGACCCACAAACTTGACGCACCGTTCCGCCTCATAGTTTCCAAGCAATATACGTGGCAGCATGAGGTTTCCACATACATACACAATTGATAGATGTGTGGTGTTTAAAGTCTCAAAACCACCACATCATTATGAGAGACACAGTAGTGGAGGGCTCCGGAAATTTCGACCACCTGGATTTTTTTAAGGTGCACTAAATAAATCTGGGGACATGGGCCTACAGCACTTTTGCCTCCACCAAAAGTGTGCACTGTGTCCAGGTGTCTTTATTTTGTACTTCAATTTCTCGCACAACTCAGTCAAGATTAAAATGTGGATTGGATCTGATGCGACCTGGATCCCTGTATCTACAATTGATTTACATCCCCACCTAAATTGTACATATATATACGTTTAAGCAAAAAAAGAATAATAACTATATACTAGTGTATTCTGTGCACCTTGCATTGACTAACAACTTCGCAAGAACAAAACCGTGCTGCACAATTTTCTTTTTTTCGTTCTTTTTATACGACAAGCACATGGATGTTGGTGGTTTACTTCTCTGGGCTTTGACGCTTAGAGTGTTACAAAATCTTCAGATGCCTGCAGTGCAGTGAAAACTAGGGGTAGCGACGACAGTTATAGCGCGAGAACAAAACGACGACACAGAGACAAAAAGGACACGAAAGACATGAGCGCTAACTTCCAAGAGTTGGAAGTTAGCGCTTGTGTCTTTCGCGTCTTTCTTGTCTGTGTCGTCGTTTCGTTCTGGCACTATAACTATCGTCATGCCATACCAACTAGCCCAAGCTGCCACACTCCTAGGGGCAGCATTTCAAGCGATGACGTTTGAATGTGTGCTGGCAAGAAGGAACCTGTCTGGTAGCAACAGCTCCCTCAATTCCACAGATTTATCACAGATGCAGGTGGGTTACCTTCGTTTCTATACTCTTCTATGAACACAACGCTAAAACTAATCACAGATTAAATAATACCATCTCATGAAACTCAAATCAGCAATTTAGATGAAGTTACTCAACTCTAACCTTGAAACTCGACCTACCAGCAATAAGTGTAGCTGAGGAGGTTTTCTGTTGCATCGCCAATAATAATAATGATATAGTAATAACATTAAAAGGCATCACATAGTCCAGCAAGCCAAGCTGAAATCATGGTCAAGACAAACATGCACAAATTCACCGACGTGTGTAATGTAGTGGTTGGAAAGTCGGATATGCTGTGCGACATGTAGAAGCAACAGACATCAAAATAGTGAATGCACCAACATGAAAGTTTTAAACAACATGAAGGACAAGTTGCCAAGCGAAAATTTACACAAACTTTTTTATTCTTTAGGCTGCCACAATTGTGACCACCAGTAGATTGGCGAGACTACCGATTTCAAGAAAAGAGTTAAACAACACGAATATAACTCCAGAAAATAACACGTGACCTCATATGCCCTCGCTAAACACGTGCAATCTATAGGCCACCAAACTGACTGGTCAAGTGTGCGTATTCTGACCAAAGAAAAGCTTACATCTGCCTGCAGCTGGAATACCAGCACATACAGACAACTGCACTTACGCTGAACAGAAGTGATGGGACGCTTCCGACAATGTAGTCCCAGTGCTATGTGACGTACTTAAATGTATTTAAATACCTGTGCTTTCTTGTGGATATTATTGTTAACAAGGATCCCACAGTGGGTGCCAAAACATCAGTAAACTTTGTATTTCTTTAGTAGGTGTATCCTCTCATGTCTACACTAAAGCGCAACAGTTTCGCACTGCTTTTTATTTTTTCATGCATCATCTTGCTGTTCACTGTAGTTACAGCTGAAAGAGTGACTTTATAAGCTTTGATAATTGGTAATATTTATTTTTGTGATGAATGCACAGACTGCCATCAGTTTCCATGACCAGGCCAGTTTTTTTCAGAAATCCCCTGACATTTCCAGAAGGGCATGAATTCCCCTACTTATCTAGGTTGATTGATATGTGGGGTTTAACGTCCCCAAAACCACCATATAATTATGAGAGACGCCGTAGTGGAGGGCTCCGGAAATTTCGTCCACCTGGGGTTCTTTAATGTGCACCCAAATCTGAGCACACGGGCCTAAAACATTTCCGCCTCCATCGGAAATGCCGCCACCGCAACTAGATTCGATCCCGCGACCTGCGGGTCAGCAGCCGAGTACCTTAGCCACCAGACAACCGTAAAAAGACTCTCAAGCAACAGAAGCATCTTGTGTTTCCAAATTTGGTGTCAGGGGTCCCTTAAGCAGTGCTTGTTAGACATTGGAAACTGCTATTTACCTGCTGATCTGCATAAGCCTAAGCAAGTCCCAATCATCATGCAGCAATTAGCCTTTAAATATGTTTAAGAGTTTTCAACTGAGCTCTCATAATTGCTCAAAACAACTTTACAGTAGTCAGAAATAGATTGTTTACATGTACCGTCGTTTACCTTTTCTTCGAATGGCCATAAAAATAACATGGAGCAAGCTCTGCACAAATTATACAATTTTTTTTACAAACGGAGTAGGATGTAGCAAGTTTCCCATCTTAGTACAATTAATGCAACAACCACACCACTGAGAAAATTAAAAGCATGCTTTAATTTTATGTAATGAAAAATCTATTAATAATCCCCTTTCCTCTTTTGCTTGCCTGATCCAAGGTACAGGTTACATACACTGTATCCTACAGTTTATTTTTTTTTTCGAAATAACTATCTTCATAACTTACCAACTTGTTTACGATACTTAGGCTTGGTACAGATTTCTTCTGCATCATCTAGCACAAGGTTCATGTATTCATCAAAACCCTGAAAACAAATGAATGAAAAACTTTTGCTTCCACTACATCAGCACAAATGCAAGAAAACATCATTTCGCAAGTGAAATCTTATAAAGCTGACAGAGAAACTGGTACAGCTGGCATTATTCAATGGCGATGCAAGATTCCTGTGCAATGTGCTAATTGCAGAGAGGCTTCTTAGGGAAGAACACTTAGCAAAAGCTGTAACCTTGATACCAGCATGCACCACATTAAAAAATTACAGTATCTCCCGCTAAAGAGAACCATGTGTAGATGCGAAGCAGTGGGTACGAACGCTTACACTTGGCGCCCCTTGCAGCGTTGCGCAAGAGAGAAGCCTGGGGAGGCGAAAAGCACGCAGTGATAGATCGTTTTCTACTGGAACATTCCTATCGCAACTAATGGGCAGTGATAGAAAGACAACTCTATTGGACACAGAGACCTGCAGTCCGTTTTTAGTTAACGCACATGCAGCGAATTTTTATTGTTTTGCAACGCATAGAAGAAATCTTCGACCGGCACTACTTTGCAAGTCAAGATCCAGTGCCTATTGTATGCGGCACCCATTGAGTATTGTTTTCTTCTTACCTTTTTTTCCCCTTCGGTAATACATTTGCTCGTCAGCCGTTAGTGAGGGGGACTCGACCCCTGCGTCTTCAATGAACCATTTTGTGTTTGCGTCTGAGTGGTTTCCGAGTGCATTTTGTGTCTACGAGCGTGTGTGTGCCTCCAACTTGTGGCCGAAGGAGTCCGAAAAGCGTGGGAAACAGACTGAAATGCGAGGAGAGCGGGCGACAAGACAGTGCGCGAAAAGCGAGCGAACAGAGCGGTTGTGAGTGGAACACTAAGTTGAGTAATTGTGTGTGGGCGTCTAGTCTTACTGTTTTGGATAATGTAAGTTCTAATCAAGCCTTTTATGTAATTAAATATAATCAACCTTTTTATTCCAGTGTGTCGTGTGTTTATTACGTTTAGCGCCCTAAATAGTGTTTAATGTCTATGTTGTGAATATTTGCGGCCATCATCTAGTATAGCATTAAATGCATACGCTAACACTATATATACGAGATGGCCAGTGAACGGTTGTGCAGTCAGTGTTTTCAATCAAGAAACTTGCTAGCAGACCGTGGTATGCCTCGCAAAGCTGACCCTGGGAGGGGGGAGAGACTTGCATGCACAATGGAAGTGTAAAAGCCGCAGGTATGAATGCCTAGAGGAGAGAAGCGGGAGCAGACGCGTATGCACAATGGAAGTGTAAACGCCGTGAGGAGGAAGGACTAGAGGAGGAGCAAGGATAAATTTTAGAAGACACTCCCTGCATCAGAATCGCGAGGCGAAGAGGGAGGAGCGTAGGATAGAAGAAAGGGGGAGCGGACGCGTATGCACAGTAATAGTTGTCCCACTGCACACAGAATTGAGCTCGACCCTAAGCTGCTTCGCATCTAAAAGAACTTCAACATGCTAAGCATTCAGTACCTATCCCCTCTTCAGTAGCTAGCCTTTTATAAAAAACTTTTTAATAATCAGAAATAGTGCAGTAAAGGACCCACAAGAAAACAATCAACACTTTTTTAAATGGAAGACACGTGTCATACGTTGAATATGATTATTGTGGGTAGTAAAAAATTAGGCAAACAGGGAGATTCACGATTGAGTGGCTAAGGGAATAACTAACAGGGTGAACGAATAATAGCAAGATTCCTTGTCTTCCAATCTCACATATGTAGTTACCTTTCCTGCTTTTAGGATACTGTTATTAAATAATGAATAAATGAATAAAACAATTATAGCTACAAAAGGAATCCTTAAAGTCATATAAAGCATGGGTAAGCAAAATTTTCTATTCATAAGTGAGCAATTGTAGCAAGTTCGGTTTGGCACAGTTTTAGCCCCTCCTGACACCAGTAACACCACATCCATGTTTGTGGACATCGACTTATTTCATTTCGGTGCAGTAGAGACAAGGAAGAGACCACGAACTCTGCTTTAATGGCAAATTGAACATTGCTTACACAAACTTATATAATAGTAACTTCAAAAAAATATTTGTTAACATAGGACCTCTTCGATGAAGATAGTGAGGTTTGATAAAATGTTGGCAGCGCGAATTTCAGTATCAATTTTGAGATATTTTTCTTTCCCTCTTTAGTTATGCTTGCAGCTATCATGTTAGAATGGGTGAATAAATTCCTTTCATAAAGAAATGTAGCATGACAGATTGTAATAGTTACGTACTTTCTTACATTATACTATAATTATTAGCTGAAAAATGGGCAACAAGTTATTTTAACACTTTCAATTACTTTAAAGGGGTACTGACATTTTTTCTAAGACGATTTTACTCTGCCATACAAATCTCCTGTATACAGAGGCGACTATGAGGAAGTGTGAACCTCAGCAAATGCTGATAAGATTTTTTATTCTGATATTGAAGTAAATTTTTTCAAGGTGCACCTACTGACATCAACACTAACTTGACGTCAGGCTACAGTACTAATTCTTGTGACTTCACGCAGCAGTCTGGCAAGTTGTGATGTCAGGTCGCTCGTGCGTCGCCAAAACTTTCAAAATGGTCGTTTGTGCGTCACAAACAGACCCAAAGAGCGATGCGGTGGTGGAAACGTCACCATATGTTACTCAGGCATGCGACGAGAAGCTCGCACTGTGTGGTGACATCAAGATACAGTAGGAACCGAAACTAGGTTTTATAAACATACTGTATTACTTTTTGAGGGTGCACTCTCGCATAGCACTACATTGTCTAGGCTCTTGAGGGTGTGGCTTTTAACTTCATGCAAGAAAACAAGAAATGAAAATTGATTGCCTAATACCACCATATGATTATGAGAGACACTGTAGTGTAGGGCTCTGAAATTTCTGACCACCTGGGGTTCTTTAACATGCACCCAAAGCTGAGCCCACGGGCCTACAGCATTTTCGCCCCCATCGAAAATGCAGCTGGGATTCGATCCCGCGACCTGTGGGTCAGCAACGGAGTACCTTAGCCACTAGACTACTGCAGCGGGGACAAGAAATGGAAATTTTCGTGTCAGTACCCCTTTAAGGAGTCTAAGAACCCTGGCGTCAAGGTTTTGTAAATTGAACATATTTACCAACACTCTAGCATAATGAACATCTGAAGGAGGGAACATCAACATTGTTCGTCCTCGTACACAAAATCGTTGCTGAAACTTGTGCTGCTTTCTTGCTGTGTGTCCATGCACTAGCTGCGCTACCCTAAAAAGCATTTAGAGTGAATAAACAGAGCATGTAAACTTAACTTAAAGGACAGTCCCAGAGCCTTTTGAAGGCTAAGTGCGTGGGCATTTTACCAGAAAATGGTATTGCAATATTTACCTCTTCAATCTAAATGCTATACAATCCATAAAAGATCTGGCCGGCTAGGTGAAAGAACTCTCTAAACTGAACTCGCACCCACCACAACTTATGATGATCCCAGACGTTTCAAAATTCTAAATCACTTTTCGTCTATTCCTCAAGGGCTGACTGCATCGATCATGGTGCGGTGCCTCCCTCCCCCCTAATGTGCCTGGTGCTAGCCTCTTGAAAATTCACATGTGAAAGCACTTTCGAAAGTGACTGACCCCACCTGCACAGTACCCTCACCTGTAATTAGCAAACTGAATGTGGACAAGTCATAACTAAAACTGAAAAACTACTTTTTCGAAAAGTTAATTCGAGCGCGAAAACTTGACACGATCACTCACACACGCACACACCCATGCATCAAACACACAGTGTGTGCGTGTGTGAGTGATCGTGTCAAGTTTTCGCGCTCGAATTAACTTTTCAAAATGCTTTACCAACTAACCCAACAACAAGTTCTCTGAAAAACTACACCTGTAATACACTGCTTCACAACAACAAAGATTAAGGTGGGTGTCAGAAACAGTATTTAAAGCAATATGGACTTACGATAATGTGGCCCTCAATTCTCAGGTAATTAATATCGAGCAGCCAAACTTGAATTCGTGCTCTCTGAAAAGCAAAGCAGTCACAATGTTTACAAAGCATGACACTGACGCAATAGTTTAAGGCCAACTCTCACCAGCATCAATGACTCACAGCCACTAATTTATTAGAGTAAAACCTAGATATGGGGTCACAAAGGTCTACAGATATAATTTTATATATTGAAAATATAGTCAAGGGATTTTACAAGTGTTTGATACACAATCATTTGTTACATGTGGCTTTGACTGTAGTTGCTTTGGTTAAAATGCTTAGATTTGGCTGCCCACTGCTCAAATGTTGATACACAAATTTAGTGAAAAATGTGCAGGAACTTGCTATACAAGACAATGGCAGTGCAATCGAACATCAATGACATTTACTCCAAGGCATTTCATGGGGTAACAGGCAGGCTGTTTTGAGTTGCTACATGGTTGCTTGTCACAATTATTTGCATGAGCTATGCAAATTGTCAGTGCTAATAAGCTAATGTCATTTTGACTTGTTGCCTATAATGCACTCCAGTGACTTTATAAGGTTATGGAAAAAAAAAGCAGCAAAGCAGTACCCATATGACGAAAACAGGAAGATTGTGCGAGTTGCTAGGTTACCCAGATAAAAATATACAGCAGCTGTTGACACATGGGACAAAGAAAAGTGACAGATACGGGGCTGATTATTGTGACCAGGTTTATTAAAAAAACGACAAGTTGCTCAGTGCCACATGTTCCACTTCTTCCCAAGTGGTAAGCACTTTATATTTAAAAGGTTGATATGTGGAGTTGAATGTCCCAAAACCACCATATGGTTATGAGAAACGCGGTAGTGCAGGGCTCCGGAAATTTCGACTACCTGGGGTTCTTTAAGTGCACTCTTATGTGAGCACACGTGTCTACAGAATTTTCGCCTCAATCGAAAATGCAGTTGGGATTCGATCCCGCGGAACAGCAGCAGAGTACCTTAGCCACTAGACCACCGCGGCGGGGCTATATTTTAAAGGATACATGGGTTGTTAACAGTGCTAGTAGGGCTTTTTATACACACTTTGAGGTTTTATCACACATATTACCTGTGCTAGCTAGACATGCCCTTAGCAGCATGGCCACAGTGCTCCTATGCAACAAGTCCAAAGTGCCTCACTAAAGCACAGCAGAGCTGCATATGCACAGTAGTCACGGGTTGAAATATGGCAGTAAAGTGCATGACCACTTGTACAGATAGCGTCAATTGTGGAAGCAAGGTGCCGCACTGTAGTGTAACGGGAGGATGAGAACATTTATGAAGCATTATTACTGCTTCCGGCTGCCAAGTAGCCATTCTGATGTTCACAATAGTGCCAAAGGCGTGCTGCAACTGGCGACGGCACAGTCAGAATACTTTGGCGAGCATTCAAAAGCATGCTACGACTGCAGCGTTCTTGTGCCACAAGGACCAAGCACAGACTGATTTGTTAACCAGAGACACTAATCATACGAGAATGATTTCACCCTCACAACACACCACAATCCAGAACTTCCACTGATGCATATGAGTGGCCCTGCTTATATTAGCAGCCACACATTCCCACTTATTTACATGGGCATCTGTTATCAGGCTGTGTTCAGTGTCACTGTAAAACTGACAGTTTTTAGCACTTTGCTTAATTCATTTATTCCCTAAATCACCTTTCTGACTAATATATTTTATGGTTGCTTGCTATTACGTTATAGTCTCTGACAATGGGCCCGCTTTAGCCAGCCCAGAGTATCTGGCTTGGAGAACCGAATCCGCCAAATGATGGTTCCACTGCACCACCCTGCTTCAAACAGCAAAGCCAAGCGGGTGGCGCAGACCATTAAAGACAAACTTAAGAAAAGGTAGGCTGGGAATTTCGGTATGCAAGTCGCCCGTACGCTCTACCAGTATCTTACCACAGCGCATGATGTCACTGGACGCGCCCCCTGTGAGCTCCTGTTTGGCCAGATGGTGAAGACACCGTTTAACGTTTTACATCCAGGCCTCCAGTCTACGGCACTCCTCAAGTTGCACGTTTTACATCCAGGCCTCCAGTCTACGGCACTCCTCAAGCGGCTAAAGCAGCAGCTGGCCGCTGGGAGAGGGTGCCGTTACCAGAGCCAGGAGCGCTAGTCTTCGCTAGGAACTTTCGTTCTGACCTACCTTCATCTGCCAGACAAGTGGCCCTCCTCGCTGCTTGTCCGCTTGCAGGATGGAGCCACAAGGCACCAGCATGCTGACCATGTGAGGGCTAACCAAGAGACTCTGCTTGCATCGATGACGATGCCAGCTACAGCCAGTGATACGCTAACTACCACACAGGTGACAAGCGTCGCCAATTGTGAACCAGCAGTTGAGCTATTGCCAAGTTCAGTACTATCTCTGCCAGCCACGGCAGACAAGTAGGGTGAATCATGCACAGCTTAGGCGGCACCTCATACTACCACACGTGGTTCCTCAACACATGCGCCCATGCAGAGCACTCGTCTTTGAATGCCACCAGACCGCTTTTGGCCGGGGTAGGCCAACGTTTAACCGGCTGGGACTTGGGTGCGTTTTTACTGTTTTGTTCAATACCTGGAAATAATGAGTGTTACGCCTGTGTGGCGCAATTTCTAGCGTAGTTCCATTACCCTGCTAGGATTGACGGGCAAACTCTGTCGTGTCTAAATAATTAACATTGATAAGGGCCACTCGCAGGTAGTAGCTGTTTCCCCCCCCATGTTGGGTCGTTCTTTGTCGAGTGCGGGGCCTTGGCCTCCCCTCCTCCACGGTCGCAGAACAGATTGCAACAACGTCAACATCACTTTGGTTTGATTGATATGTGGGGTTTAACGTCCCAAAACCACCATATGGTTATGAGAGATGCCATAGTGGAGGTCTCCGGAAATTTCGTCTACCTGAGGTTCTTTAACGTGCACCCAAATCTAAGCACACGGGCCAACAACATTTCCGCCTCCATCGGAAGTGCAGCCGCCGCATCAACATCACTTTCTCCTGCCTTCTGTTTCAAGAGCTTTGAACAACAGCAACAAGAGCAAGGCAACTGTGTTTTAACAAAATTTGAATAAAGCCACAACATACCATAAATCTCTACTTATGGCTCTTTTTGGCACTGACGACACAAGACTAAAGATTGTCTCAGTGTGTTAATACTTACATTCTGCAGATATCTGAAGATGAGGTTCTGAAACGAAAACGTCAAGGAAGAAACGGTAACGCAAGCTCTGTAAAAAGCTCCCTCGTAAACGACCATGAATCCAAAGCGTTAAATAAGCACAGGATGTTGGAATTCAAATAGTTACGCACATACAGTGCATCAGTTAGGATACTCGCACAGATCTAACAAAGCTATGGCTTCACGTGCACGTACTACGGCTGCTAGTGCAGGTACAGCCACCCCCCCCCCTTTTTTTTTTCAAACCTGTACGTGCGAGCTTCTACCGCTGAGTAAATCGGCGCCTGTTCCGGACGTTGTGGTGTGCGGCTTCTGGAACGACCTGGCAGAAGACAGCTGCACAGGAATGTTCATCGTGTGCATACACGCATTCTCATTCATTTCACAGCTGTGCTCCATTATACGCCGCTTAGTGACTGGGCGCTCGACGCTCAAGCATTCAAGGTTAAAAAAAAAAGGGGGGGGGGGGGGGCTGTACCCTTACATAAAGAGCAATTCTTGACGCGAAGAGACAAAAGGCCAAAGCCGGAAAATGCGTCCGAGACACAACCGTGACTTCTCACAAAAAAGGATACAATAGGTTGCACCATAACCTTCTGGACTTTCTGTCCAGGGCCTCCTTTGAACGACATCTTGAGGGGTAGAGGATTAGGATTACCAAATTAACGTTACAATCTCTGCACGCAAGCACCACGCGCCAAACGGCAATGCCGGTACAGTGGCTAGAATAGGACTGTAATGCCGGCAACTTTGAGATCCGTAATCCGTGTTGATCTCGATGTCGTTAGGCAATTCTGCAACTTACAAACTAATAAAAGACTGCTGCATTGTCTTATTTTCTACATTGTGTGCTGAATAATTACCAATAATTTAAATTATTTTATAAAAGTAAGCAATTTGTAAATAAACGTTGATGTATTTCTACAAAATATAATATATTTGTCTTGTTTGTTCCAACGACGACCGACGTGGGAAAAATGGCGTCGTATGAAAGTGTTTTCTGCTGCCAGTTGTTTCGGACGTGTAAGTACTACATCAAAGCGGTGAAGCCGGCATGCTCTCGATTCGGCGCTTTAAATAAGTCAAATAGCAGCCGCAGCTGACTGGTAGGTATGTACTGCAGCCTGTGGGGCATTGTTGTACATATCGTTCTGTTTGTAGTCTGCTCTGAAGCTTTTCTTTCACGTAAGACAGCCGAGAACTGCGATATGGAGCGAGAGCATTTATGATCGATCCTATTTGGTTTATATGGTTTCAAGAGTCGTGCCATAGCTTGCGTTAATATGGTAGTGCTTTTATAGCAAAGTGTTTTGAGCCTTTGCCATGCTGTACGCACGACCTCCTCTGCCGTACGTGTCACGCGCGCCAGCGCGGCTTATTTTGAACTGTGTCGGGCACTTGATGTGACGTGGATGTGGAGTAACGTGCTTGTGACTTCAGTGTTTCATCTCTTGCAATTTATATGCATGTGCACATTTATTTCTACCATTTCATCACGCAGTCGTTTAATGAAACGCCTGTGCAGGGACATTAAAAAAAAAAGTGGGACATTGAAAAAAAAAGTTTTACCCTTTCTTGCGGGAGCTAATTATGCTTGCAAACTTAGTTTTGTCACACCATTTGACTCTGTTGTCCTCGGCGGCATTCATTTCCCGTCCCTAAGTCTCTGTTCTGTTGCTCTCACTGACCACCAGTTGTATGTTATGCTCGTTATGTAGCCATCCCAGGTTTATTTCTTGCTGAACTGTTCCATGCTTAATGTCAACTAAAATATTGGCGGCCCTGATTTGTTCTGTGAACTATATTGCTGTCTTCCTGTCTTGTAATACCTATTATTTTCCCTTCCATAGAAGTTTGCAATGCCCTTAAATTTTTCTAGCATTCTTTTGGTTTCATCTTTATACGTTATTTCTGGCAATATGCAATGATTGTAGACTTTTTTGCTTGAGGGTGAGTGGTAGGTGGCCCATCATGATTTGTGCATGCCTGCGGCATGGGCTCCACCTCATCTTTATTCTTCGGCATTTATCTTTTTTATGAGTAAGCTCCACTGGTTGTAATTGACCTAAATATACATACTATTGTACAGGTTTTAGAGGTTGGTTGTCAGTTGTTGCCTTTCGACAGGCTATTAACATGCCTATGATGCTCAGCAAGCTGCTTTGTAAAACATTAAAATGAAACTACAGGGTAAATACTTTGCACTTCGTGTGAAGAAGCTTTACATATGCCAGAGCTCTCCATGGAATGGCTTGAAGTTATCTCAGTTTCCGTGTTCTATGTTAGTTGCATTCTGCCACAGCTTGTTTATCAATTGCATTTATCACTCCAGTTCACTTGAAGCATTTCATCAAAATCTAGAATTTTATACTGGCCAAATTTTGCCATTCTAGTAAAAAATGAAGTGTTCAAAACTGTCATCAGTTTGAAAAAGCTTTAGAAATCTCTGGTTCAGCCAACGTTTGCTCAGCATAAAATGCAGTATTACCTGATCATTCAAACAATCTGTTAAGTAAATTTTATCGGTATTTATTTACCTTAACATAGGATGTCTCATTTGTGGACAAAGTTGATGCTGCGCAGGCTCCAGAACGTTTGTCCAGAGCATGCAAGCATGCCCTGAGCATTTGAAAACAGATTTATAGAGGCCACAGCTGTTTAGCATGCTTGCTGTGCTAAGGTAGTTCCCGTAAGTGTGTCTACCCTTGTCCGTGCATGTCACAGTAGTTGCAAAGGTATGAGAGCAATCATGCCTCACTGCCACACATGAATGGTCATCACTGTAAAGACTATAATTGCCAGGTAGCAAATGCCATTGGTGTGTTGGCTCACCTATCTGGCCATGGTTGATAAAGCAGTTAAAACCTGGATCTAACGAAGCCTGCGGCGGCTGCATTTCCAATGGAGGCGGAAATGTTGTAGGCTCGTGTGCTCAGATTTTGGGTGATGTTAAAGAACCCCAGGTAGTCGAAATTTCCGGAGCCCTCCACTACGGCATCTCTCATAATCATATGGTGGTTTTGGGACGTTAAACCCCACATATCAATCAATGGATCTAACGAAAAAATTCCCACTCTTCGGCAGGTATCCATCGAGTTCAATGTAGTCAACCCCAAATTAACTAAACTAACTTTACCACAAAATGCAATTTAATAAGGTTTTTAATGAAATAAATTAGTAAGCAATGATGATTTTTTTCTAATACTCGCATAAACTGCTTTTTCTTAGAGCATGCTTGAACACAATTGTATTAAAACCCCTATGGGCCCTATTTAAAGCCCTAGCTTTATTTTGACGAAGCTGTATGCCACGCCCATGCATAAACCAATAGACATGGCAGTCTATAGTGTTGTTACGTACTAGATGCTGCTGGGAGCAATGGTGGTTGCTTTCATTTTAAGATTTATGTGGCAGATTGCACTAATTGTTTTCTTACAACTTGCTCAGCCTGCTCGCATAAGCACTACATTTGTTCTCCACATCTTTGCATACCGGCAGCCTATTTTAGCTTAACGTTGCCGGCATTGCCTAGACATGGAGCCACCCATGTTTGGGCGACATGGTAAGGCCCTTGTCTGGGCCTCTCTAGTTCCCAGACTTGTCACACATGCAGCTGTGAATTAGTGGCAAATAGTTCTGCGGTACCTTTTGGGAGTCTCTGTTACAATTTTAAGTATCGAAAGCTCTGAAAAATCTTTCTTGACGTTATGAACGTATGTAATCGGTGAAATCATTCTGGCATGGTCATAACTTCATGAAACCGAGTTTGAATTGTACATGATTTGTTTCCATCGTGTAGTCAAGAAGCTTGTGTAAACACCTTGCAGCACACCCCCCTGTAGACGAGTGCGCTTGAAGTGGTAGTCATTTTCAGTGTGTATTTTATTGTATGTTTGTTTTTTACAGCTTAATTTATTCAGAAGAGAGAACAAGAACCTGGAAGTATGAGATTTTCGTGGACACTAGGCTTGAGCGGAGTATTTTTGGCCTACATTTTGCATTCTATGTGGACACTGTACACGTTGTACTACCCAAAGCGCTGTTCTAAAAATGAGATCTGCATCAGACCTACATGGAACAGCGAATCAAGATTTCAAGTAGGTTTTTGCCAATGCGAACCAAGATTTCAATTTAGACGTTTGCGAATGTTGTACGATTCTCCCAGTAGTGCCGTCATGTACAGTACTCACGGATTCAAATGCGACATCAAGTGATAAAAGTAATAAAAGAATTACAGAACTATAATAATAGTAATTAATTATGTAATAGTCTGTTATTTGGGTGCTGATAATGACCTGCTGGTTTTTTAATAGGGAATTTATTTCATTTGTTGCTTGAGTTGCAGTGCAATACAGTTACAGTATAGTAAAGTAGAACATAAATATACAAAAATCTGAAGGGGACCACAAATGGATGTTTAACACTTTTTATATATTAAACATATATTCAAGAATATTTGACAACAGTTTGGGACAATAATTGTTAAATGTGGGTTCAATCGTATCAGTTAACTAACCTAACTGGCAAACCAAGGCATAGGATTTTTTAGCTGAAACTTACGTAAAACGGATATTTTTTTAGGATAGGATAGCAACAACAAAAAGCAGGTAACTCGATCATTTTCACTTATGCATACTGAAAATTGCTAACTGCATTATCTCAGTTGTAGATGGTCAGATAAATACTGTCTCATATGTTTCCCAATGCTAACATACAAAAGAATAAATAAAATTGTGGATTCAGTGGACATCATATTCAAGCTTGATAAATATTGTTCTTTATTGTGATTAGTTGTGCAATGATGCACTGCTTTATCACTTTTAATATATTCGTTTGATCTGTCCCTTTAGAAAGACACATAGGCTGCTTGGGTTGCAGTAGAGTACAATGACAGTACAGTATTTCCACACTGAGCTAAAGAAAAAATATTAGTATGTCCTTTTGTTGTTTTCTCACAACCTCTGAGTAGTTGCATAAAAAATGGTATGTCTTCCCCTCTCTGATCACTACTTTTTTCTTCTCTTGTAGTTGTTCTTCTGTGTAACAACTGCAAAGCATGTCAGAAGGGCAAGTGATTTACATGTAGTGTGGTCTGAAGATGAGTTTGATATTTCTAAACTTCAAGAAAGGTGAGTTGGTGCATATGCTAGCACACACATAGCACTCGGAGCAGTTGTACTGTGACTCTTTCAAAAATAGGCTACCTAGCCCGTATTCTGTGGAACAGTTTTCTGTCCTTAATCAGGTGATCATGCATTTTGCATGTCAGAAAATTTGCCCAGATTTTGTACATAAAAACATTATATTCACGTGATATAGAGTTAACAGTCGTAGCATGACCACCATGCAAAAAGTACAATCTGCTAAAAGCAGCAACATGTTCATTTATTTACATTGCATCGTAGTGGGAACTTGGGCTTGTTGGTGAAGCACTGTCATCGGTTCCCTCTCTGTGTCCAGCAGGCAAAAAAAGACTGTTCCACACTCACCGTCATCACTTCCGACAGCGCTGACTGATGCTCCCACTTTTAAGTGCACATGTATACGCCATAAAGTGGAGGGGGGGTAGCCGTTGCGGTAGCTCACTTGGTAGGGCATAGGATGTGTTATTCGAAGGTGGCAGGTCCGGTCCCTGCCCGCGGCAAGTCATATTTTCATCCACGTTTCTTTCTTCACATTTATATTACATTTACTGGTAATAACATCCCATACACTTTGTTTGGCATTGTCTATTCTCATTAATGTTGTTCGGAACAAAAAAATGAGCCCTTTTAATTTTTGCTCCATTCTCTCTGTGTCCTGTCATATACAGGCACTGTTTGATTTATATCACATCATCATTTCCTGCCAATGATAGGCTGTCATTTCATTTGTTTACATCGTTACAATGAAGCTTAAGGGAATATTGACACATAAGTTGGGCAAAATTTTTAATGAAACTTCTATTTGCTTTTTCAATGGCAATTACAACTTTAATTCTGGTTTTATCCTCATGACCTAGATTGGAAGCTTTTTCAGCAGCAAAAAAAAATTTTATGACTGAAATGTTTGTTTTTAGTTTTTTGTGACGAGAACTTATAATAACAAAAGTTTATGCATGATGAGCCCTTACTATGTGTTATATAAAAAATCACTTGAAAAAAAAAAAGTTTATGAAATAAGCTGTACCACAAGTGTTTTTGCTCATTATTTTTGCCTTCTGCTATTTGTTAATGGAATAAGTTGGGTGTGTGTGTTGTTTGTCTTCCTGCAGATGCGTTTTATTCTTCATTACAAGATGAGTGCTTTGTGTGAATGCGCAGAAACAGCTATGTGAATGTGCTTCGCTGTTTCGATTGTGCAACGGATATTTTTTCTATTCTCCCAACTGCCCTACAATAACTCCTACTTGGGCTATGTAGGCTGCATCAATAAATAAATAATGATTTTTCGATAAGTAGGTAACAACCCTCTTATCAAGGCTGGAACCTTCGTGTGCTCAACTGCATGATGCTTCATTGTTTTCAGGCCTCCTTATAACACCTAGATGCTAATAGCACCCAGGTATCGAGAGAGTTGGGATCCAGTGGGGTTTGTTGGTAAGCACAGATGGTCATAGGAACCTGCAGAACATTAGCAGACTTGTCACATGCAGCATCGCATGCTCGTGATCACTGCATTGAGAACTGTGAAGACGGTGCACACATAGACAGGAGCAGGCAAACAGACAGGAATAGGCAGGAGCAGGCAACACAATCTCATGATGCAGGCGGTTATTTGTTGCTTACATTTGAATGTAAGCAACAAGTTGATTTAGATGTCGTGAGTGGCTCTATTTAGCAAGCATTTGCATAGCACACTCTTTAATGTTTATTTTAATTATTTTCTCGACCCTATTACTCGTTGATATATTATAGACGATGTGTGTGCATGCGTCCTCACAAATGTATCTCAGAAGTAACCTCTCTGCCCTCTTCCGTGATGCCGAAATGGTTAGCAGAGACAGAGGCAGACTGGAGAGGGAGGTTCTTGAGGCTGAAAAGATGAGCACCTCAGCAGATCTATGCAATAGCGAACTTTTGGTAGATCTCACGTGGAGGGAAATATCAGATGGAAGGAATTAACCAATTTGATGGCTTGATGGTCTACTACAGTTGTACACCAGACAATTTCACCCCTGGTCCCTATCACAAGTTTTACAATTTCACATTGGTGTCTACCATGTTTTAAACAAGTTTAATATAAGCCATTTGACCGTGCCTTAATAAAATATTAATTATGTTCCTATGTCGCTATAGCATCTTTAACATGATTAACTTCTTTTATTTTTTTATACATGTTTGTTAGAAGCCAACTAGTTTAGATGCGTGCACAGCGGACGTTTGTGAGACTTGAAACTTCACTAATGTAAGTTTTAATGAAGCAGCTTTTCTGTCTGTATCATGTTTATTTCCCGCTGTGTCAGTTCTCATGTACTTTTATATGTTATATCAATTAGCCCGAAGGCTTCACAGCTTCTAGATTTTTGTGTTAGCTAAGCTTCTATACTAAAAAAAGCTTTTTATTTTTGTAATTGGACAGAGATTTCAACCTGACGCTCCCTAGAAAGACACTAAGGAATGGAACATTGGACGCTTACGTGCTGCTGTTGGAGCGTAAGAAAAGGGAGTCTGTGAAAACACTAGAACAAGTGCTGAGTACTTCGACTGTCAGCATAGGCAGCAATCCTCTTACTCGCTACTTGGTTCCATCTGAAGAGGAGGTCCAACTCATCAACTCCTTCAAGTCAGAGGCACCAGTAAGTGCATGTATTATGTTACAGATTTGTGGTCGACTCTGGCACTTACCTTTCTTAGGCCTCCTTACCTAAGAGTCCTAAGAGGCTGCTTGCCAAGTTTGACATCATCCGTAGCCTGTGTGGAGCATGGGCAGGGGCTCCGGAAGCTGAAGTGGGGGGGGGGGGGGGGGGCGACGTTTGTGGGCAAAAATTATATATATATATATATATATATATATATATAAGGCAAAGAAGTGTATACCTTAAGGGCTCGTTTTTCCGTGTTTTGACACAATATTAATGAGATCTAACAGATAATAATGCCAAGGAATGTATAGGGAAAGTTATTACAACAAATGTAATGTAAATAAGAAAAAAAAGTGGGTGAAAAAATAACCAGTCGTGAGTAGGTTATTAAATAACCAGCTGTGAGCAGGGTAAATATATATATATATATATATATATATATATATATATATATATATATATATATATATATATATATATATATATATATATATATATATATATATATATATATATATATATATATTATGAGGAAGAGCAATATACAATATATACGTAGATTGTAAAGAGTCTGGCTTCGGTTGCCGTAGAATTAAGTAAATTAAGTAAAAATAATGTATGCCTCTAAAAAAAAGTGTTTATTGGTGACGTTAGTGACCTGATGAAGATCGGTTTCCGATCGAAACGTCACCAATAAACACTTTTTTTTAGAGGCGTACACTTATTTTTACTATATATGTATATATATATATATATATATATATATATATATATAGGGGCATTATTACATATCTCTGTTTTTGCTAAGGAGGGGTCGGAGCAGCTGTAAGTGAGGAGGGCATGCCCACCCTGGCTTCTAACCTCTCGGTTCCAAAGCCCCTGCACAGGGGGACAAAAAGGCATGGAGCAGTGGTTTAGTGATTGGTGTAGATGGGATATTTGTAGAATTATTGTAGATTTCCAGAATGCGGGAGAGTGTTACACTTGGCTCATAATAGTCTCAAGAACATTCCTACCAAGTCAGTGCCATTTCGAAGGCCCCCTCAATTATTTGGCTGCTCAGACATTTCTGAAGTGCAACGAATCCTCTTCATGTATATTATCAGGTTTTAAATACAAAGGCTGTTCATTGGTAATATTTTGGAAAACTGCCCAAACATTTTCAAAATCTAATAAATTTAACAAAATCATGCTGTATCCTTGTTTCATTCTAATGGAGGTAGTGTTTCTCAGACAGCGCAACTTTTTTGTCACTGTTATTCCTTGAAGACACATCAGGATTAATGTTAAAATCATTTAGATTAGTCCAGAAGTTTTTTAAATTTAGGAATCATTAGAGGTAATGTGTAGTTTGTTTTTTTTGCACTGATTTACCATTTTCGAATATGAGTGACACTGACTGTTAATCTTCTAAAACATCATCATGCTTTATAAAATGAAGGGCTCCTTACTTGGTTCGGGCATTGCCAACATACAAGTGTCGCATATAGATCAGGCAATGGTGATTGTGCTTGTGAAACATGAAATGTCTTCATGGGGCAAAAAAAGGGGTGGAAAAATTTTGAAAGAGAAAGCAGTGCAGCTCTCCTTGTGGAGGGGTGATTGTTTATCAGAGAATGAAAGGCACACGTATGCATGTCCTATGGAAGCAGCACTTGAAAAGTTTCTGATCCTGGCATGTGACCTTGTTTTTTCATTCAATGCAGAGTGTTAAGTGCTAGCTCTTGAAATGCAATGAAAAGTGAAATAAAAAGGGAAGAAGAAAAAAAAATAAAGGCAGGACTTGTTCAGTGAACCTAGACGCACTCTGTTGCATCTTGCGAACACTGAATAAAAAGGAAAGGTGTTCATTTTGGCCGCAAAGCTTGCCTTATGGAGGTGTGGTAATGGGGTAGTTCAATTTTTTCTGTTGCTTTTAAATTGTCCAATAATAAACCAAAATGTAACTTTTTTTTGTCTCGTTATGGCCCTCCCCACGAATTCTATGGTGCATACAAAGTTCAGGATTAAGAAGCTTTCAGTAGAAACTTTGGTTGGACATAGCTATTGAGGGACTATGGTTAGATCAAATGTTTGCGATTTTCAGAACTTCAAACTAAGGATAATGTATTATTGTAAACTATTTGTGCTATTTACTCATTTTTTTTATTCATTAAGCTTTTATGTTTTTGTGTGTGAAGGCCCTTACAATACAACAGTTTCAAGCTACTCCTTCTTGGCCATAAGTATATAATTATTGTATATTGCATAATGAATACTGTCTCTCATTATATATATATATATATATATATATATATATATATATATATATATATATATATATATATATATATATATATATATATATACAGTTTAATTCCTTTGTAAGAAGCACTGGCGTAATAATAGATAATTAAAACAGACACCACTCACCCTTATGGTTGGCTGCCTTATCTTTCCCATAAATTTGGCATCACTTGTACTGGAAATTGGATGTAAAAAGTAATCGGTTGTAACGGACGAATTAACCTTGAAATATGGTCACCAATGGTGCCTGTAACAGATATTCTAACTTTTGAGTTTAGTTCTAATGGCTGGCGACTGGGTTGAGGGTGACGAAGGAGGGCTGTCACTGCACCCCCTGCTTCCTCCGTGAACTCATCCATGCCGGCTTCATCCCCGCCCTGTCATGCTACATACCTTAGCAGCTGTAAATATCGCTGCATTCTTTTGTAAAAATTTATAATGCTGAAATGAGCTTTGAACAGAGGGATCCGAGTTTTGTTGACAAGAATGACAGGTTCATTTTGTTTACAGTATCACTCTGTGTACAGTTAGCCTGGTTGTGTTGCATCCTATCAACCCCCCTCCCCTCTCTTGGCACATGAAAAATCTATGTCTCTGCACAAACTATCTAATAACTATGACTTCTGGGAATGCTGAGTGAGTTTAACAATGACAAGAACTTTCAAGTCTCAACGTTTCCAGGTATTTTACTTTATGTAAAATAATTAAACTGAGATTGTGGCATCTTCATATCTGCATACGCCACATTATATGTCATCATGAAGGGATCATCAGTTTAAATTTAAGGGGTGCTTCACCAGGACCAATCTTTTTAAATATTCTTTCTTTCCACGTACAATATTAAAGTGTAACTTCTAACCACTTGAGGTTGTGAACCAGGAAACTGCTTATTTGTTTTGTAACATGTTACGCCCATTTACATTAATGCCATTGGCATTCCTAGTTCTATTTGAATAAAGTGACTAATGTCCGTGCAATGGCAGCATTGCAGAGAATCGCTTCAATTTTGCCAAGGGTATGAGAACCAGTGTATGTGCACGCATTTGGGTGAGCAAAAATATACAGGGAGCACGCGGTGACCTCTCGTGTTTGTGCAGCTACCAATCCAAGAAGCTTCACAGAGTTCGCATTGTCTGAAAGACTGAAGAATAAACGTAGTGTATGGTAGACACTAGAGCTGTGCGCCGGCGCCCATTTTCGTTCGCGCCGCCACCGAATTTTTGAGAGAGACCACGTCGCCGCTGCCGGCCAATAATCGTGGCGTGCGTCCGTTTTTTTTATGTAGCTCGAGCGAATAATCTAGGCAATTCGAGATAGGAATCTCGAACAACATGAATAACCAACAAGCCCGCCGTGCAACCTTAGTCGGCAAACAATACCTCACTTCACCTTCTTTTCTGCAGCTTTAAGATTTTTCAGAGCAGTTTTTGCAGTGTCTCGACTGCTATGTTTTGTCCGTGTTTGCATTCCTTGTCTCTAAGGGCCCTAAAACAGCTTCTGAAGATACCCAATTGAATGTGTCATCTATCTCGGCGTTTCTCGTTCTTTCGGCGCTCTTGGTGACGCCAGAATGATGATTCACATGACATGATTAGGGCACATGCTCTCGAATAATTCATACAGTAGAAATATCAGTTGTAAATTGTTCTCTGCCCTGCTTTTTCATGCATATACCCCCCTCCCCCTTCCTGTTCTGTCTCGTGTCTCACACGATTATCACGTGCAACAAACATTTGATTTGGCTTCATTTTGTGAGTTTTCTATTGCGCAAGTAAGCTGGAAATTCTGATAGGCTTAGTGTTTAGCGCTCACATTGCACACGTGGTTCATGAAGACACGTCGAAGATATATCGCCTGTAAGAATTTTTATTTAAATGTGTAGTGAAGTGCATTTGAAATCAAAAGCAAACAAAGAGGCTCTGAAATATTTCATCCAACCAGGAGGCTAATTCCTTACAGCAAGGACAACGCAGCTCTCCATAAAAAAGGCCAACTCGCTTCAACGCTTTTCTTACATTTTTTGATTGTGAAAATGCTTATGTGGATACTCTCTACAGGTGTTCATCGTCCTGGTCATGTTCAGTGTAAAGTCCAAATCAATAACTTTCGTACTCAACCACTATGCTGTTTCTGCGGATGCAATCTTATGAGCGCTAGCGAGTAATGCTGCTGAAGCATAGATGAAACAAGCTGGTCATCTCTATCGCACAGAGGGCGAATGTGATAACATTACTTTGCTTGCAATGCCTACTGTCAATCGCTCCTCGACTGAGGTGGAAGCCCTGTCTGTCTTTTGCTGAACGAGAAAGTATGATAAAATACTCAGGCAGGCGGCTGTGTGGCACAATCCTTAACTGCGAACTTTGATTATATATGGGCGTGGTCACGAGTGCTGGATGCGCTATTTCGGGAGGTACCAGCTAATGGCTTGTGTACCCTTCTATGCGCTATGATGTCACTGCACAAACACTGATCTTCTCCCGGGAGTGGCCATATTTCTATATACCAGTGGTTGGCTGTTTCACAAGATTATATTAAAAACGTTAGCTGAAGCTTAAGCTCGTTATGGCGCTACGTGCTCCTATCACACGATGTAAAATGCGAAATCGTTGAAAGGTCTTCTGACCATAAAACTGTTGACGTTGCCTCAAACGTAACTTGTTTTCTCCTTGAAGACGTGACGTAAAAATTGTTTTGAGCGTTCTTAA